GCTCGGCAGCAACAATGATACCCTTCTGCAGCCTATTCTTAAAGTAACTGTTTGTATGCTCCTTGTGACAAGTTTCTGGAGGTTTTAAGCATGGCTATAGTGACTAGGATTACGACAGCGCTTGTGCATGGCTGACATTCATAACCGTTAATAGACAGAAGGATTCGTGCCAAAACACACCGCCGATTGATTGTACTGTTGATAATCATTGCATATATGACATGTTAGTCTTCGTGTTTTTCCTTTGGCGGTCTGGTCGATGATCTGAACGAGGACACTGAGTCCACTGAGTGGTTGGGGATGTGTGCGATCGTGTTGGACGTGGAGGAAGAAGAGGAGGTGCGCGAAAAACCGGAGAACAGCAGAGGACGGAGTTCGCCCATCCCGAAAGCCCGACCATGGAGAAAACTGTGTCGCTTCCCAACAATCTGTCATTCCCACCAAGAATCACAACCTGTCAGGTTCCCAACTGTAGTTGATGAGTTCAGAAGTGTTCAATAGATCGACCAGTCTGAAGTCTAAAGTCCCGACGTCGCACGAGTCCCACCGACGGGTGCCAGGTTGAGTCGGTCGCCCACCTGTCGGGGACGCGCTGAATGCGCGACGCGTGGGTGAAAGCGAGTGACGCCGCGGGACGCGGAGCGTTCCACCGAGGCCGAAGTAAGCGAAGCGTTGCGTCGGGTCTCCAGTAGCCTCGAGACCCGACGCAACGAGTTGCTTTGGACACGATGACCCAGCGCAACGAGCCTGGCATAGCCCATTTCTTTGCAGATTCTGAAGCGCAATTGTTGCATTTGGGTAGTAAGGCACTTGTTATTACTAGCGTGGCACTTGTTTCTATTAGCTTCTTGATACTACTAGTAAGGCACTTGGTACTACTGCATTTGGGTGCTTTTGGTTGGATGCGAAGAAATGGCCTCACATTTTTTTGACAAGTTTGAATGTTAAGACACCGCTCCTAACGTGACCTTAGGACTTCTTGCCTTCTTGCAATTGAATTTACAAAATGAATGCGCACAATGGGTTCTGCATTTATATTTATGTTTCCTGTGCCCATTGGAGGGAACGGTGCATTTGTGCTTCTTCGTTGAAGCTGCTGCGTGGTTTTCATCCTGGCCATTTCGGACGTTTTCCTTGTCATGTTATATAGTGTGTTCTTTGAATTGACATATTAATATTTTGTAATATATTCTAACAATTTCTACTTCCTTTCAGGCCTGCGAACTTCTTACACTGCAGTACATCTGGGTGCTTTTTTGGGGCACCACTTCTACCACTTTACATCATTCCTTGAGCACCGATTTAATGCCAAGACCTGGTGCCAAATCTTGCCGATGAACAACGGGCCCCTTGAAAACAAGGGTCGCCCGGTTTATTCGGGACCTGCTCTTCAGCCACCGAAAGTTCGGTGGTCTCAAGAAGACAGGGCCATCGACGACAGATGATGGAAGCTTCAGAGTGCAAAGGCAAAATTACACCAATAGATGTATAATTAATAGTAATTACTTGCTTTCGTATTGCAGGTCGTTATGCTATTGACATATTGACATGTAAAATCATGTAAAAAGTTGGTTGCACATGATCGATAGTATATAACACCGCGCCATGAGCTCATATTGCACATATTGAATACAAATTGAACATTTTTCTAGAACGACATTGATGACTGGTACCATCAATTTTGATTGTTTGGTCTCTCGGGATTTCTTTAAACTATCCTGAACGTTTGCCCTCTTCTGTTCAGCTCCCCTTGCCGCCGTCTTGCACTCCCCACTCCCGCAGACTCCCGCACTGCCTTGGGTGAGTGACTCGCGCCTGGAGATTGGTGGCCTGTTCCGGACACGTTTGTTTGTTTGGTGGCCTGTTTGGATGGGAAAACTATGGCCGAAGATCCAGAATCAAACAAAAGGATCAAACAAAGGTGCTTCCGCTTCGGTGGTACACCACTGGAAATGGGCGGCTTATTCACAGTTCTTGTTTCTTTGCCGGTTTCATTTGTAGTGAGAACCTCTTAACTTGATGTGTATGGAAACTGCTAGTGAAACTGCTGTGTACGTTCTGCTAATTCTGGACACTCTAGGGTTGATAAGTGTGGACGTTTCACTGCTTTCCTGAAGAGTTGTGTAGTCCTTCTCCAATTTTGAATGTTTCAGGCCCATGTGGATGCTGCCGACGATCAGTTTCTTTCCGTTTTACTCCTTCAGGATGTCTTCAAATCCCATGATGTCAGTCGCTGATGGTGATTGCAAGTTGAGTCAAGAGGACACTGAGATTTCAAGCTCTTGTGGATTCTTGTGTTATTTTTTGCACACAATCTTCTGGTATAGACACATGTCCTGAGGGTGACGACCATCCTTTTGCATCAATAGCAGCCGCTTTGTCTCCTGACAGTCCTCTGCCATGATGGTCATGTTCCAGCACAGGTGAGAGGGAGAACGGCCACGTCATGCCGGGGAACCTTTGAGGGGATCCGCATCCAGTGCGATGGCTAGTTCCGGGCCGCTTGCTGTATTGCTGGTTGCGTGGCAGTGGGGAGTGCAGTATACTGACGTGCGTTACCGCATTGGCGTCGGTCAGCGACCTCTTGCGTGCGAGCAGCGCACGACAGCGGTGGCGCTCGACCGCCACACTCAGGCAAGGCTTCAAAAGGACTAGATCAGCAGCTCCAAATCGCGGCGCAAGGAGCTTTGTCAAAAGTTGGATGTAGCCCAAGGAATCGAGAAAGCCTTGGAGAAGGCTTTTGTAGCTTTGAGACCTTTCATTTGCTCCAGTGAGCTAGTGCATGTCCGCAGTGCTTCTTTAGAGTGTTTTTGCGGGAAAACTCATCCTAGGCTTGAGCCAAGGCAGAAGTGAGTGCTGCAGTTGGCACTTCCGACAGGTGATTGCTTTATGTTGCCAATGCAAGCAGCTCGCTTTTGGAATACTCCCGGCGCTTCAACAAACAGCTCCCTGAAACAGCTATTGGCTGTGCTAAAATCCATGGAGTTCACGTCGCTAGCATCATGCCCAAATACATCTCATCCAGCTCTATGTAAGCATCCAAAAAAACACACGTGGCATCACACACGTGGCATCACATGGCTACCAAGCGCCAAAAGATACGTACCAAACGCATCCAAACGCACTATATAGATTCTCTCTAAGAAGACGAACGCTACAGCAAGGCCCTTGGAAGAAGAGAAACCAAGAATCACACACACACCACTTCACCACTGCACCAGTCCCGACTCGGGAAGAGCTGGACGACGGGACGACTTGGGTTAGGACGCTCGCTTCCCGAACGGAGCTTCCCGCGCCATGGCCCGATGTCCCGCCCGGGCGGCCGCGCGAGTCGCAAGGCGGAACGGAGCGCGGAAGAGGCGAGCAGGGAGAGGATGGGTTTGGAGATGGCTTTGGAGTGAGGAGTGAGATGGAGTGAGGATGTTGTGTGATTTCAGACGTTGGGAGATGGCTTTGGAGGATGGTTTGCATGTTCTCGACGTCCAGATTTCTCACCTACAAACATTCACACATGATGTATATACATGTATGATGCTGATGACTGGAGCTCAGAATGATCACAAGATATTACGAGAAGCAAGTTTGCATGGACAAGAATGAACGTCAAGTCCGCCCTGCGGACTGGAGATGACTGGAAGCACCGGAAGCTTTGTGTGGCTGAGCTTTCAAGGCAGAAAAGAATCTACTTGAACTTCGAAAGAAGACCGGAGTTGGAGGGCTCTCTGCAAGCTGCCCCAGTCAAAGATTTGTTTTTTACAGCTGGGAGAGTGGGAAGATCTTGGATGGTTGCTTGACATTGAACTCCGAGCCAATTACTCTCCAGTCCAATCCAGAAGATCCCGAATTGAACAAATCGATTTCCAAATCGTCATCCCATCCTTAGTCCCTTAGTCATCCTTAGAGCCTTAGACAACCTCTTCGAGTTTCAGTCCCCTCAAACTTCTGTTTGGATCTCCGGCTCAGGCTGAGACAGACTCCGATGACTCGCAGGACGCATACGAAAGACCGTTTTGACGGGTTCGGCCAGTCAAATGAGTTGGTTTCCGCGTTGACTCCCAACCCTGGATTCCATTCTCCCCAAATCTAGGCTTGGCAGTTGCAGATATATGTGTTTTTTTTCCCCTCGAGTTAGAGCAAAAACGCATCCCTTTTTGCTGGCTGTGATCCTGCATGGTACCTCGGCCTCAAGACGCAGAGAACAAAAACACGGTCCAGGTGAGCTGCGGTGAGAACCCGCAGAGAACCCTCCAGGAGATCCCCTCCGTGCCCTCCATGGTGGCAGCCGTGCAGAAGGAGATGACCAGCTTTCCCGCTGCACGGGGAGTGCAGGCGCTCGCGGCGCGCTTTCGCAGGTTCTGGCAACCTGAATTCCGCTAGGTTCTACGCCCAGCTGTTCTGTAAAGGCAACAAAAACACTCAATTTAAGGGCTTTGAAGTGCCACAGCAAACAAAAAACCACCGGCGTTTGCCAGGAACATGGCTGTGCCATCATCCGAAACTTAGCATGCTCGGATGAGTGGTTGGTGGGGAGCCTCGGCATGCCTCAGCTGTGGGCTTGAAACGATCGGAGGGACTCTTCGTCATGTTTTTCATATATACTGTACACTTTACCCTTTATAATCTTTTTTCAAGTGTTAATTTCTTCCAAAAGAAGACATGAACATTATTGAACATATGACCGTCGCTGTGGATGGAACGGCTGCTCCTCAGCCTCAGTTCTTGTTAAGACTGTTAAGAAACCCTTTCTCCATCCAAGACTTCGAAGTCCCTGAGGACTACATCGAGAAGATTGATGGTCCAACATTGGTGATCTCGGCTCTTCATCGCTTTAAGTTGGCAGCTTCAGTTCAGGAGCGTCGAGCCGGCCCAGCCGACTGCGCGACCGAGCCGACGGGTTCGGACCGAGCTGCTTGGCAGCGCTCCGGGGCTCTCCAAGACACAGTGAAGGAGGTCTTTCTGTGTAGCGCGACGTTGGTCAAAGCGGTTCCATTCCATCTTTCTTCGTGTCGCGCGATGCGGGTTTTTTTCATCGGTGGCTGGGTCGAATGCCGCCCAGATTCGTTGATGTGAAGAACGTGCCATCTGAGTCTCTAGGAGGCCAAATTCACCTTTGAGCTTTTGTGGGAAAAGGAGACCTCAATCAATTGGAGGCGGCCCGCCCTTGGGTGGGTCCTTTTTTTGCCAGGAGCAAGGCTTGGGTGTGTGCGGATCTCAGAGCTGAGCGGAGAAACGGAAGTCTGGGGAGATCAGACGACCAGCGGTGACCAGCAGCGCGCGCTGGGCTGGCGCGCGCTGGGAGGGAGGGAGAAACGGATCCGAACACCGCAGCATGAGATGCTGAGATGCAGAGCTGCAGCAATTTTGGTTGCAAGGTGTGCCATTTTTTCGGACCTCGGTTTTTTTTCGGAGAAGCTTGGTGTCCAAAGCCGTTTTCTCAGCAGCCTGAGGCTCAGTAACCTCGCCAGCAGGGCAAAGCTCAGAGAGAGGCGAAGCGCGGTTTGCGTTGTGAACAAGTCGATCCCGGCCTGAACTGACCTAACTGTTGGTGGCCCCGGGGCTTTTGAACATTTGAGAAAATGTGGAACACCGTGGGACTGTGGGATAGGACCCAGTTATTCGTTTCTTAAAATTTGGTGATTTTTGGTGTTTGTTTTGGGACATGAGTTCGGAAGCTCCACTCCTTTTTGCATCTATACATCGAGGTATATAGATATCATGGGTCATGTGTCATTGAATTCCCCCTCCGCGTGCACAGGCTCTCGAGCCAAGCTGCGCTGTCCTTGGTTCAATCCGCGCTGTTTGAGTCTTGGCGAGCGATGGGGCCGTCGTCACACCATGAGGGACCTCCAGTTCGGTTTTGGCGATGGCCTCCACCCTAGTAGCGCCTCCAAGCTGATACCCGATGGCCTCCACCCTTTTGGGGATGGACTCAGTCTTGCAAGAGTTGCATCAGTTTTGCCTAAGGAACATGCAGATAAACCCGGTGTTTGCACACAAGCGTGTGGAGACCTCAGGAACGATTCGCTGGTTACTTGCAGTGATAGTGTGTCAACTATTGATGCCGCTCTGGACATGCTGATGTCGGAAGCACTCGAACACCAAACAACGGACACCCGGAGCGGCAGGTGCTGCACTTTGGAACCTCGTGGCGGATCACCAAGAAAATCAGGC